TTTGTCAACTATCTGGCAGATAAATCAAGAAATTCAATTCTACTGGAAATTGAACACAAGCAAGAAGCAGAGAGATAAGAATTTAGAGAGAGAACCTGAGAGCAAGAGAAGGAAGAAGATCGACGAAAAAGATTGAGCGGCAGCGGGGGAAGGATGAACTTGGCTAGGGTTTACGTGTATAATAATCCTTCTTTCACTTTTTTATTTTTTTTCCCCTTTTTTCTTGTTAAATAGAGTGGATTGGGCCGTGTGGGCCGGTAAATGGGCTGTAATGGGCCACTGAGGAATGCGAGAATTCCATAAATTATCATGTAAATGACTAAATTAAATAGGTAAAAAAAATCTAAATTAATAAAAACTAGCCTTTTAAATTTTAAANTAAAACTTCAAAAAAAAAAAAAAAAAAAAAAAAAGAATCGTGCACTTGATTACCCTGACATTTTCCTACATCGCTTGCAATACCGTCACATTATCTACTTCTCATTTTTAAAGAGCAAAGATTCCAAATTCCTCTGTATCTCTTACGACATAGTCACATTACCTACTTCTCGTTTCTAAAGAGCGGAGACCCCGACATTCCTCTGCATCCCTTGCAACGTGGTCACATGACCTATTTCTCGCTTCTAAAGAGCGACAGCCCCGACATTCCCCTATATCTCTTGCAACATGGTTCACATTACATACTTCTCATTTTCTAAAGAGTGAAGGCCCCCTGTCATTCCCCTGCATCTCATGTGACATGGTCGCATTACCTATTTCTCGCTTCTAAAGAGTAGAGATCTCGACATTCCCCTGCATCCACTGCGACATGGTCACATTACCTACTTCTCGCTTCTAAAGAGCAGAAGTCTCAACATTCCCTTGTAACTCTAGCGACATGGTCACATTACCTTCTTCTCGCTTTCTAAAGAGTGAAGGCCCCCCGACATTCTCTTGCATTCCTGTGACATGGTCACATAACCTACTTCTCGCTTCTAAAGAGCGGAGGACCCGACATTCCCCTATATCTCCTGCAACACGGTCACATTACCTACTTCTCGCTTCTTAAGAGCGGAAGCACTGACATTCCCTTGTATCTTCTGCAACATGGTCCCATTACCTACTTCTCATTTTCTAAAGAGTGAAGACCCCTCGACATTCCCCTGCATCTCATGTGACATGGTTGCATTACCTACTTCTCGCTTCTAAAGAGCAGAGGTCTCGACATTTCCCTGCATTCACTGCGACATGGTCACATTACCTACTTCTCGCTTTTAAAGAGTGGACGCCTCAACATTCCCTAACATCTCCTGCAACATGGTCACCTTACCTACTTCTCGCTTCTAAAGAGCGAAGGCTCTACATTCCCTTACATTTCCTACAACATGGTCACTGTAATAACCAAAAATAATAATAAAAATAAAAATAAATAAACAAATAAAAATAATATATATACATCAAAATAATAATAATTCATAAATAAATAACTAAAAAGATTACTTAAAAATAAAAATAAAAATAAAACTCCTCTCGCATCTTTTTTTCTCAACCCCACAAGATCACATAAAAATGTCAGATTTGAGGAAAAAGTAAAATGGCATTTCAATAAAAGCAGATATGATAAAGATTTACCTACACAGATTTTGGTCTGTTATTACGATGGACTTGGATTTCAAAGGACGGAATCAAACTTTCATTAAAAATATATTCGTGACAACGACTTAAGCTAGCCAGATAAGTGACCTTACTATCGGCATGGTTATATTTGATGTTGACACGTGTCACGTGGTTCTACATGTGTCATATATATTGATATGTGTGAATTGTCTATGGATCGATATGCTTCTTATATGTTATGTATATGTTATAATATGTGAATTGTATGATAATAATTACGGTATGATGTGTTCAAGGATATGTTTGAGATATGATACGAGAAGGATGCACAAAATGAAATGTAACGATAAGAGTAAAATATGTTCATGAAACGTTAAGGTTAGGTTACATACCAGAGTGATATAGATAAGAGAGATTGATGGAAGAATACGGTTAAGTTACGGATAGAAAGGGATAAGTTTGTGATAGATTGATAGAACGATAGCGTTAGATTATATTTTTGTAATGATATGACTAAGGTACGTTCACGTAATGATATGTTTGTGATAGGTATAAGAACGTTAAGACTATGATAAGTTAGAGAACGATATGATTACGAAGTGTTTACGTTATGACTTGTTTATGATATGATACATTGTGATGCAATATATCATGGTATGATGTGTATATGATAAAATTTTACGTTAAAAGTATAAAACGTTATGTTAGGTCTCTTAAATTGTGTGTATACAGCATGATATGAATAACATGAAATTACGATAAATGACATGAAATATAACCCATTAGAATTATGTATGATTTGAGAACTAAAGAATGAGAAACGATATAATTGAATGATGAACGATATGAAAAATGATATGATATATACATAATGATAGTGAGATTGTATTGAAGGATAATGAAAATGAAAAAGTTTTGGGACCTTATGCATTATGTGTGCTCATGCATTTGGGGGATACCCCTATCCCATCACGAGGGTACGAACGCGTACATCCAATGGCAGGACAATAATCGTTATGTTTGGCATAGCGCTGCCATGACGGTTACTAGTTCTAGCGGGTGTCCAGCCTAAGGGGCTCCCAGAGTATGCCCACCGGATAAGGAAAGTGGCCCAGCGGTATGCGAACTAGCTGGTGAGCCCATACTCGCACGTATGGGCTGTGTGTAGAATATATCGTACACGTCCAAAATTATCCTAGGACACCACCGTAGGGAAAACGGAATGAAAGATAGGTCTCATCATTTCATTACATGTGATTGTTGCATTTAATTCCAATAGTGTGGTCCCTTATTGAGTATTTCTTTAAATACTCAAGCCATATGCTACTACATTTTTCAGGTTAAGGCAAGACATTCCTGTACGGCTGACGACGACATCGCAACTCGAGACCATGACACATGCATAGGGTAGTGATATTTGTTTTCTTAGACTTAAGCTAGAATATGATGTTATTAACTTAAACTCTTGTTCATTTTATTTAGTCTTTTGTTGTGTCGTTTTAAAGATATTTTCGAAACACGTAAGTCCACGGTTGTGTTTTAAGATAAAGATTATGTTTTATGGAATTTAAATAAAGTTTTCTGCCTTCAATGTTTATGGTACGTATATAGTAGCGATCTTAAATTAAGTAGAAAATTTCGGGTTGTTACAGTCACCTTACCTACTTCTTGCTTCTAAAGAGCAGAGGACTCGACATTCTCCCATATCTCCTACAAAATGGTCACATTATCTACTTCTTGCTTCTAAAGAGTGGAGGACCCGACCTTCCCCTATATCTCCTACAACATGGTCACATTACCCACTTCTTGCAGACATTCTCCTATATCCCTTACAACATGGTCACATTACTTATTTCTCACTTTTAAAGAGCGAAAGCTCCGATTTTCCATTGCATCCCCTCTGACATAGTCACATTGCCTATTTCTTGCTTCTAAAAAGCAGAACACTACAACAAATAATGAATACGATAACATACAAAAACGCTATCAGACTTTTTATAGCGTTTTTCATACGTCGTGACAACCCATATTATTAAAAGTCTAAGACTTTTTATAGAATTTTTTTTATAGCTATAATATAGTATAAAACTATAGCTTAAAACTATAGCTTATATACATGGTTATAAAAATATTTCATAGCATTTTATTAAAGCTATAAATATTATGTTATCTTTAACTTATTATAACGCTATGATATAGTATTCATAGCTTTAATCTTATGTTAATAATGTCATTCGATCCTTTATCTATTCATGTATTCATTTTTAACTAAATCCACACATGAACCATTGATTGCAAGTTCAATCACCTATGATGTGAAGCCTGTCACCTATGATATGAAGACAAACCAGGAGAACAAAAAGAATCTTTACGGTGTATTTTTTGGAAAAAAAATACTAAAATACTACGGAACGAAAAGGAATAAAAAGGTTTTTCCAACCCATAATAAATTCATCCCGCAAGCTTCATCTAGAAATAATGTTTGAACGACGATCACTTTACGAAAAATAGAGATAATACCACAACAAGACAACTAATGAAAACAAGTTCAACCATCCAACTTAGCCACAATATCACAAACACTTTTCGGATTGAATGAAGTAGCTCAGGTAATTAAGGTGAGGGCCGACCTTCTTTATTCAATTCATTGCATGTCTTTTCTTCCTTCCCCTCTTAATGGAGTTTCTCATAAATCCATATATTTATTGGTTCCATTACCATAGAATCCTGTACCGTAGTCAAGAGATACCAGTGTGACTTGAACCTACTTTGCTATAGTTAGTTGCTGTTTCCATTTGCTTGTTTTTTTTCGAGTAAGTGAATTAGTACAGTGAAGGGAGAGCCAGCGAGCAATCCTAAGAAAGCCAGCTACCTAGCCTTTCCCCATCGCTAGCTTAAACTGAGGAACCTGCGAGCTTCCGGAATACCATGGGATCTTCATAAAGTTGATCATTATGAGTGTTATGACAAATTTGCTAAATCAGAGAAATTAGGCATTGAAAAACCAATCAACCCTGTTCAATAAGTAGAACGCATTAGCTGTTATCCGATTGGGCAGTCAGGGTCGGAGAAGGGGCATTGCCTCCGTCTTTTCAGGAGGGTAAATTGCCTGATCTTGGTTTGATAATGGAATCCGCGGACAACCAATGAGGGATGACCATAATAAGGGTTGCACAATCTTACCAGACTACAAGTCAAGTCTCAGCAAGGAAGATTTTGGGCCCCAACGACAAAGGAACGGGCATTTTCGGGGATCCCCTATCAGCTCATGATATTCTTTCAGTATGTTCTTGGTCAGAGTGATATATATCCTCCAAGACAGTTGATTCAATAAAGTTCGAAGTTACTAGAATGTATTCTTGTTGATGTAACTCGGTAAGTAAATGAATGAAGGAACCTGAACCGAACCGAATGAGAGATAGTGCACTTACTCTTAACGTTGCTAAACAGATTATAGGTTACATCGATAAGCAAGAATAATGTGACATAATGCATTCCTCCAAGCTCTTGGCCACCTACGTCAACTAAAGTTATCACAATATAGGAAGATTTGAGTCCAAATAAAGTTCGAAGTCGAAGTCGAACATTGCATAAAAGCTTCAGAGAGAATCCTTTCCATGTGAGCTTACATTTATGAGACTTAAGCATGTGAACGACCACAACCAAAAAAACCATGTACGATTAAACAGAAGCCCACAAACTTGTTCAACACTAAATCAAAACGAAGTTCATCAATTCACAACATTGCAGGGCCATAAGAAACCTGTTTGAAGTTATCCTTATCCAGTACCTCAAGCTTGCCTGCCAAGTAGGCGTCAATGATTCTTCTGTTGGGGAATAGGTTCTAATCGCCACAGTTGCTTAAACAGAGTGGCTATAACAAAACAATGGGGAAGGGAATCATCATTAGACACTGTAACCAATGCCAATCCTAGATAGAATATCAGATGCCAATCCTAGATAGAATATCAGACAATGAGTGTAAAAGAGACAAAGCATATCACAAAGATTTGTAATGGCATTAGATATAGCCAATCACTATAACCAATGCCAATCCTAGATAGAGTATCAGACAATGAGTGTAAAAGAGACAAAGCATATCACAAAGATTTGTAATGGCATTAGATATAGCCAATCACTGTAACCAATGCCAATCCTAGATAGAGTATCAGACAATGAGTGTAAAAGAGACAAAGCATATCACAAAGATTTGTAATGGCATTAGATATAGCCAATCACTGTAACCAATGCCAATCCTAGATAGAGTATCAGACAATGAGTGTAAAAGAGACAAAGCATATCACAAAGATTTGTAATGGCATTAGATATAGCCAATCACTGTAACCAATGCCAATCCTAGATAGAGTATCAGACAATGAGTGTAAAAGAGACAAAGCATATCACAAAGATTTGTAATGGCATTAGATATAGCCAATGTCGTACGAACCCCATTTCCGCAGCCTAACATATCTTCTCCAAGTAGCAGTTTAGAAAATCTTTCCTTCATCATCTCAATCTCTATAGCCCCACACACCATTAAAAGATTAATACAATTTATATGGAGAAAGCCGTAAAGGAAAATGAAGATACTTTCTTCTCCGGCTTCCTATGAACAACATAGTTTTTTTCTGCTTTATCAGCAACATTAAGTCTAATACAATCGGGTTCATCAGCTTTTCGAGTGGACCAACTGAATGAAGAAGGGGAAGATGAGTCCTCAGAGCCGCTATGACTGTGCTCCTCAAGCCCTGTGGTCTCTGATGTAAGAAAATCAGAGCACGACCTACTCTCACGTCTATGTTCTTCAATCAAATGGCCAAACGTCTCATTTTCAGGCACAATGTGACCAATCCCTTCACTCTTTTCAACCAACACTCTCCTCCATTACAATTTTCCCTCTTCAATCACAACCATGGCACAAAATCGAAGCAACCCACTTAGACTCCACCCACTAGAAGCCTTACCAATCAAAACCCTTCCGCAAATTAAGCTCAAAACACGAATTTTCGACGGAGATTCCAGCACCCAGAAAGCCAAATCAAAGAAAATGGGGTTCGAAATGATTTAGAGCCACCATTATTAAATATAAAAGATAGAGAAAGAAAGCCATAAAAAACTAAAAAAAAAAAAGAAGTAGCCCGAGCATGAAAAATTGAAAAGAAAAATACTGGTTCATCTCACCTTGCCCTTTGAAGTGGACAACACATAGCAAAGCTCTTGGCCGAAAGAGCAACAAATCTGGAGATTACAGTGGTAGCCAAATAGAAAATGAATGACAAATAAAAATAAAAATAAAAAAAAAGCCCTAAAATGAAACTTTGTTGGGCCGGCGTGTTTTTTGTAAGGACTTTTATAGCGTCATGTGAAAAAGGCTATAAGGAAATGCTATTAAATGTACCATTTCTTGTGGTGGAGGCCTCGACATTCCACTACAATCATTTGATCATATATGTAAAGGTTGGGAACAATCATAATGTGTCAATTACATTATAAAGTTAATATCAAAATTCAAAATGGTCCGTAAAGAAATAACTTGAATGGAAATCCTTGAGCAACGAAGATTTCAGTGAAGCCTTAATGCAAATTTTAAGTTACACTAACGGACATTTTATACAATTACCTGAATTTCAGGTTATACAAAAAAAAGACATAATTGCCTCTTTTCTCTATGTTTGAAGTAACGAATTTCTCGGAGCTGCTCGAGTCCGGTTTCATATCATCCCCTCAGCCATTTTGGATCAAGGAGAATCGATAGAAAAACTTCGTGTAAGCTCCGAGCTAATGTCATGTCTTCTTGTTCGTACAAGACGGGACTTCATTCAAAAGTTTGATGAATCCTAAGAAACTAAGTTTCCCGTCTGACGGTCTTATCCAATCTTGAAGAACTACGTGAAGTGGAATGGATGGCGCCAATCCCAGCTCCTGTGGACAAAAAATTCGATTTCAATTAATCTAAGCATCTTAAAGGTTGATGGTTCGATCTAAACGAAAAAAAAAAAAAAAAAATTAATGGTCCAAGTCCACCACTAGAAGATATTGTTCTCTTTGGGTTTTTTCCCTTATAGGCTTCCCTTCAAGACTTTAAAACGGCATCTGCTAGGGAACGGTTTTCACACCCTTATAAAAGGGTGTTTCTTTCTCCTCCTTAACCAATGTGAGATATCACAATCCACTTGCCTTTAGGGCCCAACGTCCTCGCTAGTACTCGTTCCTTTCTCTAATCGATGTGGGACCCTCACCAAATCCACCCTCCTTCAAGGCCAACGTCCTTACTAGCACATCCCCTCTTGTCTAACCCCTTCGGGAATCAGCCTCCTCGCTGGCACATAACCCAGTAATTGGCTCTGATGCCATTTGTAATTACTTAAGCCCACCGCTAGTAGATATTCCGCTAGTAGATATTGTCTTTTTTAGGTTTTCCCTTTCAGACTTTCCTTTTTTAGGTTTTCCCTTTCAGACTTCCCTTAGAGGCTTTAAAACGCATTTGCTAGAGGAAGGTTTCCACACCCTTATAGGGGTTTCGTTCTCCTTCCCAACCAATGTGAGATATCACAATTCACCTCCCTTTAGGGCCCAGTGTCCTCGCTAGCACTCGTTTCTTTCTCTAATCTATGTGGGACCCCTACCAAATTCACCCTACTTCGGGGCTAGCGTCCTTATGGCACATCGCCTCTTGTCTAACTCCTTTAGGGATCAGCCTCTTCACTGGCACATAGTCCGGTGTCTGGCTCTGATGCCATTTGTAATGGGTTTTTCCTTTCGAACTTCCCCTCAAAGCTTTAAAACGCATTTGCTAGGGAAAGGTTTCCACACCCTTAGAAAGGGTCTTTCGTTTTCCTCCCCAACCAATGTGGGATATCAAAAAAACGCTTTTATAGGAAGAAAAAGCATACCGAAGCAAGTTCCTCTATCATGATTGGTCTGTTTCCATACTCATCAAAGAGGTCATAAGCATATCTTGCATGCAGCTCCCAACTTTCAGCGCCTTTCAACCGATGAACACTTAGGGCGGCTGCACAAAACTCTTCAAAATCCAACCTTTTATACGGCGTGGAACTCACCTGAAACATTCATAAACGAGTCGTTCGACTTCGATTTTGTTCCAAAAAATTACGCTTACGAACACTACTTTGTGAGTATTACCATGTCGACATACTCGATCACCCCCGAATCGTTCATTGCATCAGTCGAAGCTTTCATCAAAGCCTGTTCATGTACTCCAATAGTCAGTGGTAAGAAATTTAAACATTGTTCTTGAAGAAAATCAAGATGGATAAGAAGCTGACCGTTTTAAAGTTTCGTAACGAAATGAACCCGTCTTTGTTCGGACCTAAGAGATTGAATTGTTCTCGGAGATAAGCGAGCTGCACGAAGGATAGCGTCTTTGCAAGAGCCTGTCATAAATGTTTCATAGGGTGATCTCTGAACTTATATAGCATATAGTTTAACTACTTCAACCATCAACTCGTCCCGAGTATTCTGACTCATTTTGAAATGAGCTCGGAACTTATATAGCATTATGGTTTAACTACCTGAGCCATCGACTCGTTTGAGTATTCGGACTCATTTTGAAATGAGCTCTAAACTTATATAGCATTATAGTTTAACTACTCGAACCATCAACTCATTCGAGTATTCGGACTCATTTTGAAATGAGCTCTGAACTTATATAACATTATAGTTTAACTACTCGAACCATCAACTCATCCCGAGTATTCAGACTCATTTTGAAATGAGCTCTAAACTTCTATAGCATTATAGTTTAACTACTCGAACAATCGACTCGTCCTAAGTATTCAGACTCATTTTGAAATGAACTCTGAACTTATATATCATTATAGTTTAACCACTCAAGCCATCAACTCGTCCCGAATATTCAGACTCATTTTGAAATGAGACTTACATAGCATTATAGTTTAACTACTCGACCATGACTCGTCCAATGAGCTTCGAACTTATTTTGAAATGAAAATCCTCGTTGTATCTTTGAGTCAGGGGGGTCGAACACATGTATACTAATACTCGAACGTGGGATTCAAGAGTAAAATCTTTGATTTAGAATCAAATATGTGAACTTAAAAGGGTACTTACGTTAAACGCTAATTTACGCAAAGACGATGAGTAGATATACGTTCTAACGAGCTTATAAACTATGATATCCAATGGAATCTTGACATCTGGATGATTTGTGAGCCAAGGATGACCTGTAAAGACAATTTGGATAAGACGCATTAGAAAGTTTAGAGCCACTGTCCTCATAAGTAAAGTGTACATTTTCAGGTCCCTAAACTTACATAGAGCCTGTGCAGCAGTTAGTCTTTTATGTTGGTTTTTATGTAGTAATCCCTGGACAAAATCTTTTGCATCAGAAGATAACGACGGCCAAGGATCGTCGTCGAAGCTCGGATCTTCCTTTAACACGGTTCGGAATATGCCAGATTCCGTCCTGGCCCAGAAAGGTCTGCTTCCACATAAAAGAATGTATGCAATCACACCGATACTCCACATATCCGCCTCGGTCCCGTATGACCTATGCAGGACTTCAGGCGCTACGTAATATGCACTGCCAACTATATCGTTCAGTTTCTCATCTGCAAGATTTCGAGTACTCATATGTCAACTCTAGTCACCTAAAAGATCGAAGACGAAAACATCACGGCTCCGATAACGTATCTGATAGTAGTAGGTTTGACCTGGATTTACGAAGTCTGAGAGTCCGAAGTCTATAACCTTCAGTGGTGAATCTTCCTCCTTTGTTGTGAAAAGAAAATTCTGCACCAAGAGAATCGTCATTCGTTGATTGTCGATCGTCGTCGTAAACATAAAGAAAAACCACAACATATCAAAGAAATATGAATGTGTCATCTCAGCTCCTCCTCTTCAATAAACATTCATATATTGATTATGTAATAATTCAAATCCACTGCTAGCAGATATTGTCATTTTTAGGATTACTGTGAGATCTCACATCGATTGGAGAGGGAAACGAATGTTGGCGAGAACACTGGGCCCCGAAGTGGGGGTGAATTGTGAGATCCCACGTTGGTTGAAGAGGGGAAGAAAACATTATTTTTAAAGGTGTGGAAACCTCTCCCCTAGCATATGCATTTTAAAAACTTTGAAAAGAAACCCGAAAGGGAAAATCCAAAGAGGATAATATCTGTTAGCATGGGTTTGAGATGTTACAAATGGTATTAGAGCTAGAAACCGAGCGGTATGTTAGCGATGACACAAGGTCTCCAAGGGTATGGATTGTGAGATCCCACATCAATTGGAGAGAGAAACGAGTGCCAGCAAGAACACTGGGCCCTGAAAGAGGATGAATTGTTAGATCCCACATCAATTGGAGAGGGGAACGAAACATTTTTTACAAGGGTGTGGAAATTTTTCTATAGCAAACGTGTTTTAAAAATCTCGAGGGGAAGCTCGAAAGGGAAAACCCAAAAAGGACCATATTTGCTAGCGGTGAGTTTGAGATGTTACAAATGGTATCAGAGCCAGACACCGAACGGTATGTCAGCGAAGACACTAGGCTCCCAACGAGGGTGGATTGTGAGATCCCACATCGGTTAGAGAGGGGAACGAAACATTCTTTATAAGGGTGTTTGAACCTCTTCTTAGTAGACACGTTTTAAAAACCTTGAGAAGAAACCCGAAAAGAAAAGCCCAAAGAGGACAATATCTGCTAACGGTAGACTTAGGCTGTTACAAATGGTATCAAAGCCAGACACCGAGCAGTGTGCCAACGAGGACACTGGACTCCCAAGGAGGGTAGATTGTGATATCCTCCCAAGGAGGGTAGATTGTGATATCCCACATCGGTTGTAGAGAGAAACAAAACATTTTTTTATAGGGGTGTGAAAACCTCTCTCTAACAAACGAGTTTTAAAAACCTTGAGAGGAAGCTCGAAAGGGAAAGCACAATATCTGCTAGCATGGGTTTAGGTTAATACAGATTCAATACGATGAGAAAGAAAGAACGAAGAGTACCTCCGGCTTGAGGTCACGGTGGACAACGCCTTGGAGGTGACAAAAGGCAACCGCGCTTAAAATCTGAACAATCACATCCTTAGCATCTTCTTCGGCATATATTCCACCCCTAAAGAATCGAAAGCTTATAATCACATCAAAAACCGATATCTAAGACGCAACATTCATGTCGAAACCGATACCTCGAAAGCATCCGATCGAGTAGTTCGCCTCCTTCGCATAACCTGAAGAACACGACACAAAGAAGAAGATAATCAAAGAATTAGCACACAAATCTTTAATCTTTGATTCATACTTACTCCATTAATATGTAAACATTATCATCATCTTCAAATGCTCCATGGAACTGCACTACGTTCTTATGCCCATTCAACGCTTGCAATATCTTCACTTCTCTTTTCACGTCATCCACGGCTATTGCTGTCGTCATCTGAGAAAAACCATATTTAATTATAATTAATTAATTTACTGTTTTTTTTTTAAATTATTAAAAAAATGAAAACTATATTATAGTTAAGGAGTGGAGCTCGAGAATCTCCCTCCGCTGCTAGGCTACTACGTTTTCTTGTTTGAAATTTCAGGTCTGGTCTTCATTGGTATTTGCTGCTCACCCACTACGTTTTTTTTAGTTTTTCCCTGCCCGATCAAGCTGTCTAAGGTCGATGGTGCATCCGGTAAGCTCTTTCGGTATTCATCTCCAAACCCCGGTTAGATGCTTCAATCCTTCATTCATATTCTGTCTCCTTCTTCTTTTTTTTTTTTTTTTTTTTTTTTTTTTTTTTTTTTTTTTTTTTTTTTTTTTTTTTTTTTTTTTTTTTT